ACAGCAGGCTTACCAGCCCACAGAGTGAGAAAGCCGAGTGCCTTTGGGCAGGAGGCTTGCCAGCAGAATAGGGTGCACCCAGAGAGGGTGCACCTATCAGCAGAGTGAAAAGAGCTTTTAACACCTGCCTGAGCAGGGCAGAGGCCAGGACAAGAGGCCAAGGGCCAGAGAGGCGTGTACGAGGGCATAGCAGAGAGGAGACTGACCTGATCATAGAATTGTATCCTGAGCGCATTCCTGAACATGAGTTGTAGCCTGTTACTCCCCTAATAAACCCTATAATCATGAGGATTGTCTGTGAGTGCTGTGTGGCCACTGCAATGAATTATCAAACCCAGCAGAGAAGTAATGAGTGCCATGGGAGAGACAGTTGGTGTCAGAATTGGTAAAAAGTCTGGAGGGTGGCAGCATGTCTGGCCTTATAAGAATAAGTATTGGGCTGCTGATGGTGACTGTGTTTCCCCTTTGTGAGGCTGGAGGAAGTCAGAAGATGTTTTTGCAAATGGGATTGGCAAATTTTGCCTGGTATAGACATGATCTGAAAAGAATATAGATTCCTATACCCAAAGAAAGGAGCTCTGGTAGCGTAGTGACTAAGGCACTTGACTGCTAACCAGAAGGCTGGCAGTTCAAACCCACCAGCCACTCCTCGGAAGGAAGGTTGGGCAATCTACTTCTGTAGTGATATCACCTTGGAAACCCAAGGAGGGGTTGCTGTGAGTCGGGGCTGACTCGATGGCACATAACAACAACATACCTAAAGAAAAGTTTATATAAAAGAGTCCCTAATTAAAAAGAAAATGAGAGCCTTTAACTAAATTTTACCTTAATTTCTTAGTTTAGCAAGGTGACTACTATAAAGCTTACAGGGGAAATGAAGATTTATTGGGCATGGTGCTTTCCATACTATATTTTGTTTTCATTCTTACAACAACTTAATGAGGTTTGCTTTATCTCCATTTTATAGTTGAGGAAAAGAAGAGTCGAGCAAAGTATGTATCTTGCTCGAAACCACACAGCAGAGCTGGGAATCAAACCCAAGTCCATCTTACACCGAAGCCCACACTTTTTCTACTCCATCAGTAGAAAAATCCAGTCAGGATGCCTCATGGCCAGGCAGTCAATGGACAATGTTCTATGTGAGTTTCTGCCATCCCTGTCCCACCAATTTTCCCAGAGTGAGTATGCGTTTTCCTGATCTGCCTATTGGAGCTCCAATGTTTTGTTTAAAACAAGGTTCACTGTCCCAAAAAATTCTTTAACAAATTGTATCATTCTATATTTTACACAGTCACTCTAAAGCTTGAGGTAAAAATAGGAGCTTATCTTTGTTTTCTTTCTCTGCTCTCCAGTACAATGTTTGCAAATTATTTTTTATTCAAGGTTCAAAGACTTCTTCCAGTTAAACTTTTTCTTTTTCTAAATGTCTCAGTATATTAACCAGCCTTTTCATATGTGTCTTGTCATTTCTAAGATTTCAGTACAGCACGTCATGCAGCAGCTGATAAATATTATAGTTCATGTTCCACAAGGTTACAGCTGCCACCTTCTGTTCTGCTCTATGGCCAATTCCTCAAGCCGCCTCTGCCATTAATCCAGTGACCTCAACCTCTCACAACTCAAAGCAGTGTGTGAAGCCCCTTCTTAACTCCTTAATAAACGACTCCATGGATCTGCTTTTAAATATTCCCAAGCTCTTCTCAGGGCAGGAAACCAAAATCTACAAATGAAAAGACCATTCTGGAATGCATCATTACCTCAAGATCCATTAGCTTAAAATTTTTGATACGTGGGCTTAAAATTTCTTCAGATACAAGAAGCTCATACTGAAAATTCAGGAGATTGTCAGAGGGATATAAAAGTTCTGATTTCTTCCAATAAAGCCACATCTTCAACTTTATAGAAATGTTGGTCCTGAGTTAGAAATTAAGGCAAAACTATCTAGTAAGCACATTGTGTACCATCTACCACCCCCATCTCCCATTCCCACTGTTTTAAATCTTCTAGAATTAGTTAACAGCAGCTCCCATTTATTAAGAACTGACTCGTATCTGAGTGCTGTAAACAGTTAAGGCACTTGGCTGTTCACCAAAAGGATGGAGGTTTGAATTCACCCAGAGTTGCCTCAGAAGAAAGGTCTGGTGATCTGTTTTTAAAACATCAGCCATTGAAAACCCTACGGAGCACACATGAGATCAGCTCTCTGACACACATGGGGTCACCATGAGTCAGAGTCCACTCAACAGCAACTGGTTTGGTTAGTGCGGACATCACTCTAACAACATCACACAGTTGTCTTATTCAATCCTCCTAACAAATTTATGAAAAATCAGAGGACTGAGGTTACATAAGTAGCCTCAGATCACCCAACTAGTGTAGCAGCCAGGATTCAAACCTAAGTGTAATATCAAGGCTCTCTCCCTCAATCATTACACAATACTCCATTAGTCACAAAATATTTTCTTCTCTCCTGAAATTAGCACTTCTCTGTTAGTACTACAAGGAGCTCCAGTGGAATAGTGCCTAAGGCATTTGATTGCTACACAGATGGTTGATGGTTCAAACCCACCAGCCACTCTATGCAAGGAAGATGGGGAAATCTGCTTCCATAAAGATTGACCACATCAGAAACTCAACATGACTCTCTGAGTCAGAATCAACTCGATGGCAGTGAGTTTGGTTTTTTAGTTTTGGAAGTCAGTACCACAGCAGAAGGACCCAGGAGACTCTCTTTATTATATCTACATATTTTAACCACAAAAGGGTTGATAAACAAAAATAGTTTTAAAAAAAGAAAAAAAATGGAGTCCCAGGGGACATAAAGTTCAATTGGCATAACCTACTTCACAAAAACATTGTTCCACATCCTATTTTGGCAAGTAGTGACCGGGATCTTAGAAGCTTGCAAGCAGCCATCTAGATGCAACGATGAGTCTCTCCTCGTCCAGAGCAAAGAAGAAGGAAGAAAACCAAAGATGCATGGAAACAATTAGTCCAAGCAACTGGCACATCATGTGATCCTCGGCCTATATGAGACCGGAAGAACTGGATGATGCCTGGCTACCACTGTCAAATGCTCAGAGCGGGATCTATGTAGGAGATTCTGGACAGAGTGGGAGAACAATGTGGAACAAAAATCAAAATCATTAAAAAAAAAAAAAAGGGGTGTGGGGTGTGGGGGGGGTGGACCAGGTTTGCTTGTCTGATAAAGTCTTCTGGAACCACTGAGATTATGGCCCCTAGCTGCTCCTCAGGTCTGGAATTGAACCCACTCCCATGGCTTCCGGCCAAACAAAAGATAGGCATATGAGCCGAATATTTACATTAGGTAGTATACTCCTTGGAGAGAATAATCATGGGAGAATAGAAGGGCTATGTATGTACAAGGAGACAGCTCAGGGGGCAGGAGAGCATGGGAGGGAAGGACACAGAGAAGATGTAACCATGGGGAGGAAGTGGGAGGGGAGCTGTTGCACTGTGGGAAATTGCAGTCAATTTTATGGGACAAAGTGTATGTGAGCTGCTCTATGGAAGGTGAATTTGCTCCATAAACTTTCACCCAAACCACAATTAAAAAAAAAAAAATGGAAGCTCTAAAGACCACTGTCACCTCCAGCCCTTTTCTTCTTATCAGAAGTCAGATGAGCAGTCACTGGAGCAAATGGAATGAAACTGTGGTCAATTTTCCATTCACATTTTTATACCCCTGACTGGGAAAAGAGAATTGATATAACAAATGTCAACTAGGAAGAGAAGGTGTCATGGGCTCCATGTCTGGATTAATTAACTACTGCTTCAAATGACATTCTTTTGGCATTTCATGCCTTGCCTCTCAATTCCAGTGACTCATGAAATGAGAACAAGGCTCCAGGGAGGTGAATACCACAGCTGCACAGCCATGAACCAGAAATGACAACAGACACAGGATTTTAGTTCTTTTCTTTCCCCATGGACTCTCCACTCCTACGCACCAAAAAAAAAAAAAAAATGTACTCTGTAGCCATGGGGAAGGAGCTCTGGTGGCGTAGTGCCTAAGGCATTTGACTGGTAACTGGAAGGCTGGCAGTTCAAACCTACCAGCCACTTCATGGAAGCAAAACTGGGCAATCTACTTCTGTAAAGATTTACCACCTCAGAAACCCAAAGGAGGACACTATGAGTTGGAATCAACTCAATGGCAGTGAGTTTTTATAGCCACGGGGAGCTCAAGGATTGTCCCATAACACAGTAAGAATCTGGCATGAATGAGCAGGCATAACTAGCTACTTACACTAAAGCACAAATTCCTCCCAGAAGAACAAACGTTTCTATCTTGGAAGAAGTACAGCCAAAATGCTCTTTAGAAGCAAAGATGGTGGTAAAAAGACTTTGTCTCATGTACTTTGGGCATGTTATCAGGAGGGACCTGTCTTTGAAGAAGGACATCATGTTTGGTAACGCAGAAGGTCAATGGAAAAGAGGAAGACTCTCAATGAGATGGATTGACACAGTGGCTCCCACAATGGGCTCAAACATAGCAAGGATTGTGAAGATGGTGCAGGACTTGACAGTGTTTTGTTCTGCTTTATACAGGGATTGCTATGAATTGGAACTGACCTGATAACCTTAGCAACAACAACAACAACAAAGCCTTCCATTAGTGTAATGTGTATGAAGTTTCCCTTTGCTAAACTTTTCAAAACTGAAATCCTTAATTGCGCTTGAGAGGTTAGCTGGCATAAGCAATCCATTTTATCCCAGTCATTTCATAGACCCATGTAAAAGAAAAAAACCCAAAACATTATTAATAGTCAAGAGATTCAAAACCAAATATGCCTGCCAAGATTTGTTTGGCAAAAGAAATTTACTCTATCTCTTGAAACATGGGGTTTAAAAATCAGTTCCAATATTCTTTTTTGCTAAAGTTTTCAATTATTCACTTGAGAGAAAAATCCTAACTCTACACAAAACCAGCATCTTACAAATGAAAATCTCAGCACCCCACATTCTAATCTACTTACCCTCAGTGTTGGAACCAATGTTGTCTTCCACTCCTACAACATACCTCCTGCCACTCCGAGGTGCAGTGTGATCTGGCAAGGGATAATGTGGAAGAACTCCTCCAGGGTGAGCGGGAGGAACATCCATTTCTGAAGGCACTGCCCCTTCATCTGGGTAGGGCTGGACATGTTCATTTTCAAGGTTGGGTAGTGAGGCTTCCCGAGAAGGATCCAGTGAATCTCTGTCTTTCTCTGGTGTAGTTGGGCTTCTGGTCTCTGTCTGTTCAAAAGGCTCAACTTGGCCATTTAAATTTGGAGTATCTGTCTTCCACAGGGATATCCCCTCTTTAGTTTGAGGATACGAGGTGGCAGATTCTGTTTCAGGGTATAATGGCCAATCACTAGGCATTGCATGTGGCAAAAGGGGGGGCAGATTAGAGTCTGGTGGAGCAACATCACCTCCTGAAGTTCTTGAATCAACTTTTGAGTGGAAGGAAACATCCACAGAGCCATGGCCATTCTCTGTCTCCTCTGGTTCACTTGGGGGGTATTCAACATCCTCTTCATTCTCATCATAATAATCCAGATTGTCTTCGGTATAGTCACTTTCCAGGGCTGCAGCATGGTTGAAGGAATGTTCCAGAGAAGCTGAAGAGTGGGCTTTGGAAAGTTCCCCTCCAACTGTTGCTGGCCGGACATTGTCCAATGGGGAGGTACTGCCGATATGGAAAGCCCACACTCCAGGAATCCCCAGGTTGCTTAGTCTAAATAAAAAGAGAATAGTTTATTATAACAAAAGTGTCCATTTATCCACCTTCCTACTAAGGTGAGCAATTAATTTTAAAACTGAAAGGCTATCAAGATCAGATATGCAGGTTTAACTGGTATGTAAAATCAAACAAAAGCAGACTTAATGGTAACTAAAAGGATTATGTTAGAATATTGATGTAAACTATCTTTTGTTTAACATTCTATTTGAAAGCCTGTATCTGCAAAACACTAGACCATCAAGTTATAAGTTGTTCAACAATCCAAATGTTTTACCTATAATTTGGCTATGTGAAAACAAATAGAGGCTGTGGGAATCCTTCCTTTACTTGTTTGAAAACATATAACAAAATCTAGAAAAGATATGCTTAAAAATCTTTCCCAAACATTTAAACAATGTAAACTTTACTTGCTTTTGAGAGACAATTATGTGCTAGCCCCTATGCCAAGTGCGTAGCATTCTTCAATACACTGCAAGACAGAGGCAGTTATGTACAAATTTACAAAGGAGAAGAAAGGTTTAGAGAGGTTAACTGACCTATCTAACTCACATAACTAATGACTGGCAGAGACTGGGCATGAATTCTGGGAGCATGGTGGCACAATGGTTAAGTGCTCAGCTGCTAGCCTAAAGGTCAGCAGTTCAAACCCACCAACTGGGAGAAGGATGTGGCAGTCTGCTCCTTAAAGATTACAGCCTTGGGATATTTATAGGATGGTTCTATAGGGTCACTATGCATCAGAATTAACTCAGCTGCAATGGGGTTGGACATGAATTAAGCTGTAATACCAAAGCCCATTCTCTAAACGTCTATAGTGTATTATGTGAGAAAACGAATACACTATGTCAGTCAGCTCCTGAATTATCATTACTCTATAGAATGTTAAGTACATTTCACTGTTTATTCACATGAACAAATGAACTAATTCACAGAGAAAGACAAATTGATGCAAAAATTCCAAAGAAATAAAATGTCCAAGTCTAAAAAATTCTGACCAAATGCAGAACAAAATTAAGAGGAAAGTAAGTAATTGAGTCAAAACAACTTTTTGTTGGGGTCACAGGTGAGAGGTCTTTCCAGAGACATCTGGAACCAGAGACCTCCCTTGTTTTCTCCGCCGAGAAGAGTATGTTGTCTGTTCAGTCTCCCAAGGATCCCAATAATCCATTCTTTTAGAATCAGTGGTATATTTTGAATAGAAAAACTGCATCTAAGATTTCTAAAAATAACAAAATGCTTGAACAAACAAGGGCCGGGAGAGTTTGAGTACACTGATCTATTGCTCCTCTGGTTATGTCCAAAATAGCATGCTCAAAGCCTCCCATGCCACGGAATTTCCTCAGAAGTCAGTCAATGAGGAATGAGAGATAATGGCTAACAGACAATAAGAAATTCATTGAATTGCTTAATGACACTTTGATGGCCTTTGCCTTTGGGTAAGTGTTCATGAATTTCTACAGCAATAATACTTTCCAATGCAATTCTGAGAATATCTCTTTCTCATTTTTGTATTTGTGTGTGTATGTACATGGTGATGTTGTTGTTCTTGCTGCTATGGTAGTTAATTTAGGGAAAGTGGAGCACAGAAAGCAAAAGTGTGATCCCTTTGCAATATGCTATGTATACTTGCTAAATTCATAAAAATTAATGTTGATGTTTTTGGCAAGCAGATAAGGAAAACTAGAGCAAACGAGAAAATCTTCAAAATCTGAGGATAGTGAGTTTATTATCACATTAAAGGTGTTGTAGCTGTGAAATTTCTTCTTGAAAGCTATAAATAAGCTTCAGAGAGTAGGAAAATACAAATCATGGCAGATAAAACCTAAACAAAATAACTTTCTAATTAAATATAAATCACTATCCTGGCTTTTGCCATTGTGCATAGTCAGAAAGCAACTAATTTGAGTTTACTCTAAAATCCAATGTCATTTGCAAAGCTTAGTGATAGAAATAACTTAATTTATTTCTGAGAAAGAAAAACAAAGACTACAAACTGGGATGATAAGACTTTCCTTGCTGGGTTAGCAGGAGGCTTAAATGAGAAAACACACACAAAACAGCTAGTACAGAGCCCTTACACATAATAAGCACTTAGCAACTACCATCTTCTCTTCCAGGAGAAAGAAAAGTATAAACTCAAAACAAAAAAAAAAAAAAAAAAGGAAGATATGTACATTCATATTGAAACTTGCAGAAAAAAGTTATGACAAATATACTATGAATTATATTTTAAGCTTATAACTTCCATCTGACATCAGCAATGATATCCTTTGTTCTACATCATCTTTTGAATCCAGCTTGCATTTCTGGAAGTTCTCTATCCATATACTGCTGCAACCGTTTTTGAATTATCTTCAGTAAGATTTTACTTGCATGCGATATTAATGATATTGTTCGATAATTTCCACATTCTGTGGAATTACCTTTCTTTGGAATGGGTATATATATGGATGTCTTCCAAATCTCTTGGCATAACCAAGTGAGTGCCTCCAGTGGGGCATCCGTTTGTTGAAACATCTCAACGGGTATCCTGGCAATTCCTGGAGCGTTGTTCTTCACCAATTCAGTGCAGCTTCAACTTCTTCCTTCAATACCATTGATTCTTGAACATATGCCACCCTCCTGAAATGGATGAAGATCGACCAGTTCTTTTTGGTACACTGACTCTGTGTATTCCTTCCATCTTCTTTTGATGCTTCCTGCATCATTCATATTTTGCCCATAGAATCTTTCAATCTTACAACTTGAGGCTTAAATTTTTTCCTCAGTTCTTTCAGCTTGAGAAATGCTGAATGTGTTCTTCCCTTTTGGTTCTCTAACTCCAGGTCTTTGCACATTTCATTGTAGTAATTGGCTTTGTCTGCTCAAACTGCTCTTTGAAATCTTCTGTTCAGCTCTTTTATCTTGTCATTTCTTCCATTTGCTTTAGCTACTCTTCGCTCAAGTTTCAGAGTCTCTTCTGACATCCATTTTGGTCTTTTCTTTCTTCCTCATCTTTTTAATGACCTCTTGCTTTCTCCATGGATGATGCTCTTGATGTCATCCCACAATTCTTCTGGTTTTTGGTCACTGGTGTTCAATGCATCAAATCTATTATTTAGATGGCCTCTAAATTCAGAAGGGAAATATTCAAGGTTATTCTGGCTCTTGTGGACTTGTTTTAATTGTTTCTAACTTCAATTTGAACTTGCATATGAGCAGTTTGATGGTCTGTTCCACAGTCAGTTCCTGCCCTTGTTTTGGATGAAGATATGGAGCTTTTCAATTGCCTCTTGCCACAGATGTAGTCAACCTGATTCCTGTGTACTCCATCTGGTGAAGTCGACATGTACAGCCACTGTTTGTGTTGTTGAAAACAGGTATTTGCAATGAATAAGTCGTTGGTCTTGCAAAATTCTATCATGCAATCTCCAGCGTTATTTCTGTCACCAAGGCCAAATTTTCCAACTACTGGTGATTCTTTTTTGTTTCTAACTTTTGCATTCCAATCACCAATGATAAGCAACACATCTTCATTTCATGTTCAGTCATGCAGAAGTTGATAAAAATCTTCAATTTCCTTATCTTTGGCTTTGGAAGTTGGGCAAAAATTTGAATAATAGTCATATTAATGGGTCTTGCTTGTAGATGTGTGGATATTATCCTATCACTGACAGCATTGTACTTCAGGACAGATCTTGAAACATTCTTTGTGATGATGAATGCCACACCATTTCTCTTCAATTTGTCATTTCCAGCATAGTAGATTATATGGTTGTCTGATTCAAAATGCCCCAAACCCATCCATTTCAGCTAATATCTATGATATCAATTTTTACACATTCCATTTCATTTTTGACAACTTCCAATTTTCCTAGATTCATACTTCGTACATTACATGTTACGATTATTAATGGATGTTTGCAGCTGTTTCTCCTCAGTTTGAGTCATGCCATGTCAGCACATGGGGGTCCTGAAACATTTACTTTATCCATATCATTAAGGTTGGTTCTACTCTGATGTTGCAGCTCTTTCCCAGTCCTATTTTGAGTGACTTCTGACCCAAGGGGCTCATCTTCCTGCACTGTGTTGGACAATGTTTCCAAGTTATTCATAAAGTTGCCCAGTAATGTATCAGACAGTGTTTCTCTGCTGTTCATAAGGTTTTCCCTGGCCAATTTTTGAGAAGTGAATGGGCTTCTCCTTCTTCCTAGTTTGTCTTAGTCCATAAGCTGCATTGAAACCTGTGCACCATGTGCAACTCTGCTGGCATCTAAAACACCAGTGGCACAGCCTCAAGCCTCACAGCAATGTACAAGCCCCACAGGATGACAAACTGACAGACAAATTTGTCTCCCTTAGCTTTTGGAAAACTCTGCACCCTCCTCTTACCTAATTCCTATCTGGAACCTACTAGTTTGTGGTCCCTGGCCACTCCCTCCCTTTCCTGGCTCTAGGGGGCTTGGGGCCTAGCTTTACTCGTTAATATGCATTAAAACTTTAATCAGCATATCTCAGAAATTCCACTTTTAGGAATATATTTTTAAGAGATATGAGACATGTAGGCAATGTGCATTATACTGTTTTCTGCAGCATTATTTATAACAGGAAAAATCAGAATGTTCAAGGCTTACAAAAATGTTCATCATTAAGTTATTGTCCCAATAATACAGGACATATATGACACAATGTTTTGCAGATTTAAAATGATAACACAGACAGATACCTGACTGAAAGATGACCATATTACAGTGCTAAGTGGGAAAATGACACATGTATTGTAAAAGCACCATTTTGTTTTTCAAAAATTATATATCCCTAAAAAGTCTAGAAGAATTGTTAACACTTATTATCACTGAAATAATGATCATGAGTATTTTTTTCTTTCATATCACATTATTCTGTGTTGTTTTCACTTTATTTTTTATATTAAGCATGCATTCCACTAAAGAAAACTTCCTACATCAGTCATTTTGGCCCAGTAGCTTATTCTGCTCTCATCAAGCAATGCAGAAGCTTCTGGGAGGCATCCAAGATGAAAAAGAGGGAAAGGTACAAAGAGGTAAGGGGAAGAGCTGTGTGCATGTATGTGATGCTCTCGGGGCCTCCATGGCTGCTATTAGGGTACACAGCTGCTTCTCCCTACAGGCTTTTTGGCCTCTACCGCCCCCTATACCCTTTGCAGACTCCAGTGCTCTGTAACTCTTGCCCCATTTGTCTGTCTGAGGTCTCCAGAGTAGAAGGAGAAGGTCGAATCAAGGGAGAGTAAGCAAGGAACTAAGGTTGCTCTAGAGTCTAGACTGAAAGGTAGCCAAGATGGAGACCTAAAGCTACACAGTGGGGGTTATAAGAATGGGAAGAAGATAAGGATTCAAGATTCTCTCCAAAAATAAAAATTAAATAGGAGCTAAAGCAAAGTAGTTGAGAGCTCCAGATTTGTGCTTCAGTCTTGGCCTTACCACTTAATAAATCTGAGATCATAGCCAATTTACGTAATATTCCTAAACTCATTTGTAAAACAAAGAAAACAGGCATTTATCTCCTAGAATTCTGGTGGGATTTAATTAAGATGATATTCTTGGGAGATTTAATTAAATGTTTAGCACAATGCCTGGCAAATAGTAAACTCTCAATAAATGGCAGCTCTGACCACCTGGATTTGGCTGAAGTGTTCTACTGAGCAGAACAGAGCAGATGGTATGCAAAATCGTAAGGCATTGAATAGTTACAGGAGGCTAGGACGGAACCAATAAGTTCTGTCCGGTTTCTGAACCAGTATTCAGGAAAGGCATAAAAGCAAAACATAAAAGGAAAAAAAAACCTGAAACCAATTCCTACTGAAATCAATTGATATTGGCACTATCTGACACTGGCCCTACCTGGCCTGACAAAAAGGGGTTGTTGTTGTTGTTGTTATGTGCCATTGAGTTGGACTCGACTCATAGTGACCCTTCCTTGGGTTTCCAAGGCAGTATCACTATGGAAGTAGATTGCCCAACCTGCCGTCCAAGGAATGGCTGGTGCGTCCGAACCACCAGCCTTCTGGTTAGCAGTCACGTGCCTTAGGCACTATGAAAAAGGGGAAGGGCTTATTATTGTACTAGCAGAGTAAGCCATTCATGGGACTGAGGAAGGTCTTCAATTCTGGCTACCCCATGGAAAAACAAACAGTGTAATTTCAGGTAATGAAGCCGTAGAGAAATATATCAACCTGTTAGTTTTTCTGTTTGTTTGTTTTTCTTTTGCAAATTACATTACTTTTTATTTAATTTTTAACATGTATTAAATCACAGTGTACCTACTGTGAAATAATTAATCTGGAAAACCTCAAGCTGCACAGTTATATTACTGGATATTTCATGTGGTTCCAAAAACAATGTTTCTCATAGCATGCGTCAGTGGCTTTGTAAGTATACACACACACTGTTCTGTTCCTGGTATCTATATCCTGGTAGATCAAGAAAAATAAAAATTATAGTGAATTTGATCCTCCCAGAGTCTAATTTCTGGTTTTAACTTCACGCCTTGCTTCGAAGCCACCAGGATACTATTTAATGGTCTTGTGGCCGCTCAAATTTGAGCAGCTTCTAAAGGTTCTGGGCATTCAGATATGAGAGGGTTTAAGCCCTATGTTACTTACTGATAGAGGTTTTTTACAGACTGCTCAGTTCTGGTCAAGCTGAAATATGGTCCTTCTCTCTTCAGATCATCGGCCTCCCCTCGGCAGAAGCCCACCCGGGCTGGAAGCTCCAGTTGGACGTTGTAAGACTCTTTGGGGCGGGTTCCAAAGAACTGAAGGCCATTAGCAGGATAAAGAAAGAGGGCGTAGGTATCAGACTCATCAGATACCAAAACTGCCTGGAAAGTATTTAGCTGGGGAAGGAAAAAAAGAAAACACAAGTTAGAAGCATCCTTAAAAAACAAATTGGATGCACACAAAGCACCATTAAAGGAGAAAGGATTTTCTCCCTTCTCGGGTATTCACTGTACTTCTTCACGTTGTCTTTATATAAATAACTAGAATATTCTTTTACATTTCCTCTTCTGCTACAAGGGAGCTCTGGCAGGATAATGTCTAAGGCATTTCACTGCTAACCAGAAGGCTGGCGGTTCAAACCTACCAGCCACTCCTCGGAGGGAAGGTTGGGCAATCTACTTCCGTACTGATACTGTCTCAGTTTTTTCTTCTGTTACAAATGTTATTTTATGTTATATTACTCATTGTTACACTCATCTTTAATCAACTTATATCAATAATTAAATATGCGTAGATAAAACAAAGGTTAAAAAATTAAAATATATGTACCTCTATGGTCTAAGGCAGGAGCTCTGGTAGCATAGTGCCTAAGGCATTTGACTGCTAACCAGAAAGCTGGCGCTTCAAACCCACCAGCCACTCCTTGGAAGGAAGGTTGGACAATCTGCTTCCATAGTGATACTGCCTCGGCAACCCAAGGAGGGGTCGCTATGAGTCAGAGCCGACTTGACGGCACACAGCAACAACAACAACAACGGTCTAAGCCATCTGACTGCTAACCAGAAGGCTGGTGGTTCAAACCCACCAGGCACTCCTCAGAAGGAAGACTGAGCAATCTACTTCCGTAGTAACATCACCTCAGAAACCCAAGAAGGGGTCGCTATGAGTTGGATCCTACTCGATGGCAGTGTTTTTACAGAAAGCAGTTTGGGGTTCCTCAAAAAGTTAAAATCAGAATTACTATAGCCCAGCAATTCCACTCCTACGTATATACCCACATGAACTAAAAGTGAGGACTCAAATACTTGTACACCAATATACTGTAGCATTATTCACAATAGCCGAAAGGTAAAAACCCAACCACCCATCAACAGATGAATGGATAAACAAAATGTGGTATTTATATGTATATGTATATATATGCTTATATATGTGTGTATGTATATACGTATGTATGTGTGTATATGCATATATACATACATAAAACAGGATATCCTTCAGTCATAAATAGAGATTAAGTTCTGATATATGCTTATGACATGGATAAACCTCAAAAATATCATGTTGAGTGAATAAATCAGACACAGGACAAATATTGTAAAATCCCACTTACATGAAATATCTGTGTGCCTAAGGCACTCGACTGCTAACCAGAAGGGTGGTGATTCAAACCCACCAGCCACTCCTTGGAAGGAAGATGGGGCAATCTACTTCTGTAGTGATACTGCCTCGGAAACCCAAGGAGGGGTCGCTATGAGTCGGGTCTGACTTGACGGCACATAACAACAACAACAACATACAGAAAAAAGTTTAATAGTGGTTGCAAGAGGGTTAGAAGAGGAAGGAATGGAAGCTATTACTGAAGGGGTGTTGAGTTTCTGTTTATAGGAATGTCAAACTTTTGGAAATGGATAGCGGTGATGGCAGCACAACAAGGTAAATGTCGTTAATATCACTGAATTATACACATGGAAATGGCTAAAACGGCAAGCTTTTTGTTGGTGGTGGTGTTGGTGGTGGTGGTGGTCGTGGTGTTAGGGGCTGTTGAGTCAGCTCCAACTCACAGCGACCCTGTGTACTACAAAATGAAATACTGTCTGGTCCTGGGCCAGCCTCACAATCCTTGCTACACCTGAGCGCATTGCTGCAGCCACTGTGTGAATCCATCTCATTGAGGGACTTCCTCTTTTTCATTGACCCTCCACTTGACCAAGTATGATATCCTTCTCCAAGGAATGGTCCCTTCTGACAACATGACCAAAGTAGGTGAGACGAAGTCTGGCCATTCTCGCTTCTAAGGAGCATTCTGAATGCACTTCTTCCAGGACAGATCTGTTAGTTCTTTGAGCAGTCCATGGTACTTTCAGCATTTTTTGCCAACACCACAACTCAAAAGCATCAACACTTCTTCCGTCTTCCTTATTCATTGTCCAGCTTTCACTTGCATATAAGGTGATTGAAAATACCACAGTTTGGGCCAGGGGCACCTTAGTCTTCAAAGAGACATCCTTGCTCTTTAGCACTTTAAACAGGTCTTTTGCAGCAGATTTGCCCAGTCCAATATGTCATTTGATGTCTTGACTGCTGCTTCCATTGGTGTTGATTGTGAAACCAAGTAATACGAAATCTTCGAAAACTTCAATCTTTTCTCCATTTATTGTAATGCAGCTTATTTGTCCAGTTGTGAGGATTTTTGTTTTCTTTATGTTGAAATGTAATCCATACTGCAGACTGTAGTCTTTAATCTTCACCGGTAAGTGCTTCAAGTCATCCTCACTTTCAGCAAGCAAAGCTGTGTCGTCAGTGTATCGCAGGTTGTTAATGAGCCTTCCTCCAATCCTGATGCCACGTTCTTCTTCATATAGTCCAGCTTCTTGGATTATTTGCTCAGCATACAGAATGAGTAAGTATGGTGAAAGGATACAACCCTGACACACTCCCTTCCTGATTTTAAACCATGAAGTGCCCCCTTGTTCTGTTCAAATGACAGCCTCCTGTTCTATGTACAGGTTCCTCATAAGCACAATTAAGTGTTCTGAAATTCCCATTCTTCTCAATGTTATCCATAATTTGTTACGATCCACACAATCAAATGCTTTTGCATAGTCAATATAACACAAGTAAACACCTTTCTGGTTTTCTTTGCATTCAGCCAAGATCCATCTGACATTAGCAATGATATCCCTCATTCCACATCCTCTTCTGAATCCAGCTTGCATTTCTGAAAGTTCTCTGTCAATATACTGCTGTAACTATGTTTGAATTATCTTCAGCAAGATTTTACTTGCTTGTGATATTAATAGGAGCTCTGGTGGCACAGTGCCTAAGGCATTTGACTGCTAACCAGAAGGCTGCCAGTTCAAACCCACCAGCCACTCTTCAGAAGGAAGGCTGGGCAATCTAATTCTGTAGTGATACTGCCTCGGAAACCCAAGGAGTCGCTATGAGTCAGACTTGCCTCAATGGTAATGAATTTGGTTTGTATATTTGGTGATATTAATGATATTATTAGATAATTCCCACATTCTGTGGGATCACCTTTGGGTACATCCATGAATAAAGAAAAAAGTCATTAAAAAGACAGGAAAGGAAGAAAAGACCAAAATGGATGTCACAAGAGTCTCTGAAATTTGCCCTTGAACAGAGAGTAGCTAAGGTAAACGGAAGAAATGAGAAGGTAAAAGAGCTGCACAGAAGATTTCAAAGAGCAGCTCGAGACAACAAAGTCAATTATTATAACGAAATGTGCAAACATCTTGAGTTAGAAAACCAGAAAAGAAGAACACATTCAGCATTTCTCAAGCTGAAAGAACTGAAGAAAAAATTCAAGCATTGAGTTGCAACACTGAAATATTCTATGGGCAAAATATTGAATGATGCAGGAAACACCAAAAAAGATAAAAGGAATACACAGAGCCACCATACCAAAAAGAATCGGTCAGTGATCATCCATTTCAGGAGGTGGACTATGATCAAGAACCAATGGTACTGAAGGAAGAAGTCGAAGCTGCACTTAAGGAATTGGCAAAAAACAAGCCTCCAGAAATTGACAGAATACCCATTGAAATGTTTCAACAAATGGATGCTGCAATAGAGGCACAAACTCCTCTATGCCAAGAAATTTGGAAGACAGCTATCTGGGCAACTGACTGGAAGAGCTTTTTGTTACATATTTTAAACATATTTGTTAAGCTTTCAAATATCTATCTTCCAAACCTCTTTGAGCTGGTAACAAGCAGCATCTTTTACTTGGGCAACCACTGCTCTAGGCATTAGCAATTCTTGTCCGAATGATTCATTCACCCACCCATCCATCCATCTATTTACTGAATGCTCATTACAGGCAGGTACAATGTTAGGCACTGGCTGATCAAAAGGCCTTCCTACTGTTCTCACAGCCTTACTCTATTTTCTCTTCTATATACCATTTCATACCAGCACTAGAGTTATCCTACCTTCATTTCACAGATGAGGAAATAGAGACTAGGGGCTAAGAGATCTGGTTAAGGTCAGATAGTCTGAACCCTGAACCACTAGACCATCCTGACTACTCTTCAGCATGACATTCAAGGTGATTTGGCCCCAAACTTCTGCTAGGATCAGTTCTACCACAACTTTATCAGATTATTTAATTCCACATTTGATCCATGTATTTTCATGCTTCCCTACTTTTATTCATGTTTCCCTTTGCCTGGAAACCCTACTGAACCCTGAAATGCTGCTTCTCTGAGGTGTTTTGGTATTTCTTGCAGAATTATTATTATTTTTTTTTTGACCATTTACAATACCTCATGGGTGTTTCTAGTTAAGCTTAACACCTCATTTTGTCTTATACTGTGTGAGCTGTTTACATGTTCGTAAACTCTTCCCATTTATTCATTTGTACATTAATTCTAACAGCCAAGTGCCTACTAAGATTGGGCATTATGCTTGGTGCTGAAGAGGCAAAGAAGCAAAAGACAGGCAGACTCTGACGAGGGAAGTCTCACAGCTTAAGAGAGAGAAACAGCCTTGGTTGGAATCTTTAACAGTGTTTACAATTCAGGTGGTAGAGGCCACAGAGGAGGGTGTGTACCCAAGAACTCCGGTTGGGGGCAGGGAGGTATCACAGAGGAAGCTTGTGAGTGTTAATAAACACTGCGGGAGCTACAGCAGACCAGCAAAGACAGAAAACAGGAGTTTGAATTATCCACAAACTCAACACCCAGGCCGTTACAGAATCACTCTTACAGTTTAATTTACTCTCATATTTTCAACAAAACACTTTTCTGCATTTACCTACATCTAGCTATCTTTTTTTCCCCTATAAAATTTATTAATCTGTAACATCTTAAAAAGATGTTATATTTAGGAATGTGCTAATAACTCCTTCTATAAATCCCACCACATTTACAAT